ACTGGAGTTTCTAATGACACCATTCCGTTTCACTCGAATACCACAGCTAGATTGACGCTTTTATAATTACACTAGGTAATTTAGGAGAAAGAGGATTCCTTGGACAAACAATAGATAATGGCACAAGCACCATTTTCGTAATATGGGGAGAAGTAAATTGGAGCTGAATCAAGCTGAATTAAGCTAGAGCTTTTAGTACCGTAGTATGCCAGCTAAGGATTAAGGGGCGCTACACACTAATTTCCATAACCATAGACGTAAAACGTAAACTTAAGCTAAAAGAACCAATCAGGATATTGCTATAAGAATACGCACTCTAGAAGAAAATATAATTAACAGTAATGCCGACCGTAAGCAGAAGTAAAGCGTCTTCTACAATGGCAGTAGGAATAGTAGTAAGAAATAAGCAGTAAATAGACCAATCACAATCGATTATTTTTGAAACGTGAGAATGGAATTGGTCAATTTGCTTACTGCTTATTTCTTACTACTACTCCTACTGCCATTGTAGAAAAGGTTTATTGCTTAAAGGTCCTTGCACGTAGAAAAATTTTAACCGTAACCGTAAGGTCGTAAGAAAACTGACCAATCAGAGTTGATTATTCTCCTTGCGTTTGAAGAATAATCAACTGTGATTGATCAGTTTTCTTACGACTTTACGGTCACGATTAAAATTTTTCTACGTGCAAAGGCTTTAAGCCCATTCTACAATTGCGTGAACGTGGTTGTAAGTGGTTGTAAGTGATTACGACAACCAATCAGAGTAAAGCAATCAGTGAATAAAACATTTGGATTGGTTGACTCTTACGTTACGACTACACTTACGCAATTGTAGAATGGGCTTAAGGGTGCCTCTCCATGCGACGTAATGGCTCCTGCACACAGGACGCGATAATGCTTGCCGCGCAGCGGAAGTTCGCGCGACAGCCAATCAATATGCTGCTTTCCGTAATAACCTACTAGCTCTTACGGAAAAGCAACATATTGATTGGCTGTCGCGCGGACTTCCGCCGCGTGGCAAGCATTACTGCGTCCTGTGTGCAGGAGCCATTAGGGTTTGTTCGCGTCGTATGTCCCAACGTGCTCCTACTCGCTCCAACGCACTCTGATTGGTTTACGTAACTATGCGGACCAATCAGAGTGCGTTGAAGCGAGTAGGAGC